TCTATAAAATGCTTTCGGATTTCGGATTTTCGGACTTCAATAAATCCGAGTTATACCATAATTATGTAATTATTATTAAATTATCTTTTTGGTGTTTTGTTTTACATTTGCATATTTATCAAAAAATATATACTTAGGTACGCAGCTTTATATTGTAAAATTATTTAATATTTATATGATTTTTAAGTAGCTTAAATAGCGTTTTTTTTTGTGAAAATCCGGATTTTCGGATTCCCAACTCTAATAGAAACAAGGTACAGTTCCCAAACAACATGGGTTAGATGAGTGATAATAATGATGTGAAAAAAGTGATTGTTATACAATTTGTTTTTATTCCAATCAAAAAAGATTTTATTAAATATTTTTTAAATAATAATTAGTAACCATGATTTTAAAATAAATGAAATTCGATTTAGTTCTAATAATATTATTATTACTTTATAAAATATTTAATTTTATAAAGTAAAACTTAAAGTATAATAGTTAATATTATTTTAAATACATAATAGTTTAATAACAGCTATTCATTCAACGAAATACCTACATATTAATTTAATTAATTATAACAGGTTATATTATTTCAGCTACAGCCTACAATACATAATTAAGATTCTGGTTTAACAATGATATGTTTTTAACTACTGGTTAAAGTGACTGGACCAATACCTTCAACAGCCAGTTAATAGACCACGCATAAGTACGGTTAGATTAAAAAACTTTCCGAAAAATAATCGAATAACTTCTAAATATGTTTAGAGTATTCTCTAAAAAAAGTAACAGCAATATGCCAATATACAGCCAATACAGTCAAGAAAATATCATTAACTTTTGAGGCCTTCAAGTAGAAGGGATGGACATCTTTCTTCATTTCGCTTTTATAAGTGTTGTTTTGGGGCATTATTGTGTAAATTTTTTTTTAACTTTATACAGATTTTTTTTGTTACTTAATTTTTTTTGCGGAAATCCCAAAAACTTATTGACGTAGTTATTAACACATTTATAACCTACATTGTATCTAATAATTATTAAAAATATTTAATATTTTTACGATCTATAGATGCCAGATTTTTGCATTTAATTCAAATAATTTTTAAAGACCTGTGGCCACCCTAATTTCACTGATTTTATCATCCAGCCATTTTTCTTATGATTATAATAATTATGAAAAAAAAAACCGTTAAAATAAAATTAAACTCTAATCACTAGCGCGCTCTATTAGTTTAAGATTTCATATTACAAAATAGTCGCAGTGTTATAAACATTAGTTGTTTTGTTTTACTTCACTTGAATGTAATCGTATAATCTGACAATTTTGAAAAATCCATATAGTAATAGAAGAAATATTTTCTACTAAGAGAATAAAACAATAATAATTAAATCAGTTTTTGGAGATTTTCTAAAAATAAAAAAATGTTGAAGTATTCTAAGGCGTCTCATATAGGCAATAAAAACACATATAAGATTAAATTTTAATATTCACCACTAGATAGCGTTAACATGAACGGTTTTACGTTACTTGTGATTTTTTCATACTTTAATTGAAATTATTATTTTTAACTTAAATTTTAGTACCTACAAAATATTAACTAAAACAGTAACATAATTAAGAGATTATAAATTATAGTATAAAAAAAAATTAGCTTGCATTAAAATAAAATGCATTCAAACAACTTCAGCAAAAATCAGCGCAGCCTATTTCAAGGAGTAAAGCATAGGCAATATTTTTTACAAAATCTTAACTTAAATGTGATTTGTAAATATTAGTTCAGTAGTTAGGACTTTTTTTGGTAGTTAAATTATTTTCCGGACTATCACAGCATCCGCAACAGCGAAAAAAAAATTTCCATAAAAACTTAAGTTTTTTAGATCCAAAAATACGGCTTACTAAGTGATTTTAGAGCAAATAACCTTATAATCAAAATTAAAGAAAACAGCATTATTGAGGGCACCTAGAAGCCCTTCTTTTGCTATTTCAAATAGGACATTTATTAATTTATTTTTAAAATAATACAATTTTTGTCAATTTAAAACCCTGCAACTTCTAAAAAAAGTGTGTTTTTCAAAAAAATGGCTTCGAGATGCCTTTTAAATATTGTTTTTTTTAAATAATCTAATTGGTATTTTTGCATTAATATCCATTAAGAGCCACTAATTTTCAATTAAAGTAAACATGTTTTAGTGCCGGAAAATCGCTGCACTGACATCCTCTTAAAAACTAAACAATTCAAAATATATATTAACTGACTTGTATAATAATTATATTTTTCTATTGATGATATTTCAATATATTAAATACATATAGTTCTATAAACTTTTTTAAAACTGCTTTTATTTGTGATTACACTACACTTTATTTTAAGATTATTAAAGCATAAATTATACTATAAGGTTTGTCGTATCGCAAAAGATATACTATGGTTATATAAATACATTATTTATGCTAAACCAATATTCAAAACTAACTAGTTGTAATTTTTATAAAGATATTTGATTATTGTTTGAAGACATTTATAGGTAATAACACATAAAAAAAGCTGCCCTTAACACGTTAACTGTCAAGGGCAGTGCTGGCGATCCCAGTTCAGTTATTTATCTTGAGCCTTGTGACCTCCGGCACTAACCATGGCAGTTAACGTGAACTTTTCTGGATATGGCGGTTTACTTAACATTAAATGGATAGTTATTAGTTACCATATTTTAGTAATAGGAAAAAAAAAACAGTAACTTTAGGTAATCTAGTTATACAATTATTATTGCCATTTTAATTGTTTGATGCAGACAGTAAGCAATTTAAGGAAGTCTACAACCATTATTAATGTTTATAAATATTTTTATAATTTATATAAAATAAAAAAGAACACATAGTTAAATAAAACAGACTTGTAGTTGCATCCATATAAATATAGTATACATATCTGTTATTAAATGTATGGCAGGTGAAAGTCAAATCATGAGTCCAACATATGTGCAAGAGACAAAACTAGTTTGATCACGTATTTTAACCTCATTAATTTGCCAAATTAGTTTTGTTTCCATCCCATATCATATTGATGTCTGTTACGAAAACTAATATGTTTCATTTGCTTTATGAAGAGTAATACATTACATTTTTTGCCACAAAAAGTAATATTTGATCTCCATTAAAAAAAGAGACGTTATTGTAAAGATTTTTTTCACTGCATAACAACATTACATAATTTTTCATACATACGTGGGAGGTTTAGCCCCTCTGTTTTTAATATTTCACAACATTATAAAAGCATACATTTTATTTTATTTATTCTATATTTTCTTTAGATATTTTAGATACATTTAAAAATAATAAATGATTTTCTTTTTAAATTTTACAAAACCTAAAAAAATTAATACATGATGAAAAATAATTGTAAGTATTAAAAAAAAGAAGTTATTTAAAAAAAAAAATACTACTACTAATAGTAATTTATTTCTGTTAAAAACCTAAGAAAGGAATAATTTGATTAAAAAGTTTATAGTAAACCAATAAAATTGGTGTACGATTTAGTTTAAAAACTCCAATGTATATATGGCTTGTTCCTCGAGTTATAAGAACCAATGTTAACTTTTGACAAATATGAGACGGACTACTAAAATGTAAATAAGGTTTGGGGCTCAAATCCAGATTTCTTATGCATCAGTATTTAATATAAATAAAAAAACAAAATTATCTTTATAAAACATAATTTTATACTTCTATATTAATTATTGAAAACAATAATTTTCTTAGTAAATTTAGAGAAAAAATTCAAACCTACAAAACTGATAATCACACAGATAATTTGTTACGTTGAATGATTGTTAAACTGATGAATTCTGATATTCCCAACACTAGTGTATATTAAAACACTTAAGTTTTATTTAATAATATTATATTTATTTTTCATTTTATTGTCATATAGAATGGCACTCATATGACAAAAAATATGAAAGTTTTTAACACATTTAAAATAGATGAAGTCATTAAATAAACATTGACGTACAAAATAAAAACATATTATGATATTTCTAGAAACCCTTATAAGAATGTGTTAAAACCAACCTAGAAAAAGTCACCTAAAAATAAAGGCAGATTTAAAGCCAATGAGGGGCCAAACTAATATTACTTTTTGTGGCCAAAAGTGAAACATATTAATTTTTGTCATTTAAGATGCAAAGTGAAAGATTAGTAATATCCTAATATAATGAATAGATTTGTATAATGAATATACATAGAAATATACTAGATTTCAGGGCTTAACAAATATCCTACTTTTGTAAGGCAAATGAAATGTATTCCTTTTCATAATGGGCGATATGTTTGATTTATTGTTTACATTGTCATCATTAATAATAAACGCAGACGATTAAGAATAAGTCGATAGGTTCACATTGATTCTGACATGACAAGGAATTAGAGGTTGCACACACCTATAAAATAAAACAAAAATGTAAACAAATTGAAACATAAAAGAAGTTCATAAGCAAAATACCACTCAACTGATGTTACCTATATATTATGTTTATTTAATTCAGCACAACGCCTAGCTTGTATTATTTATATCCTATTCTCTACGGAAAACTACTTTTACTTGCGTAATCGTTTTCAGTAATAGTTGAAAAATGAATAGCAGGCAATACTGTGTTGATTAAATTTTAGTCCACAGGTATTTCAATGTAATAAAAAACGATATTTTATATAAAAACATGAATGTTTAATTTGTAATCATTGGACATCTGAGAAGATTCGAAAATCGAGAATAGGTACAACGACTGTGACTATAGCTGTTATTTTCTAGAAATATTTTGTTTTCGTTACAAAATAACAAGAAACGTTATCAGTAAATTGTGGCATGCGGCGCCGTGCGTGATAATCTGTTTTTCTTCAATTTGAACAGTTAAACGCAATGAGTATAATATTACAGGATACCTAATCTCTTTGACGTCACTATAATCGATATGGCGCGCGTTTTCGATAACGTCGACAGGTGGCGCCCGCAGCAACCGGCCATTTCCTTTGTCGTCTTCCGAATTTTTGGTGCGTTTTGAGGTTTAGACGTTTTTATCTCGGACTTTTATAATTACTTTTTTATGTTTACGCCAAAGTCCAAACGCCGTTTCAAAATTCAAGCCAAGTACCGTAGTACGCAACAACGTGTTTTTTCTCCGTTTATTGCTCCGAGACTTAGGAATTGGCCTACAGTTGGCCAATTATTGTGCACCTCTACGGTTTTGTGTACTATTTGTAAATCACGTCAGTTAGAGTCTGGTTCTTAAGGCAGTTTTAAATATCAATATATCGTTTTTGCTGAATGCCTGAATCTATCGTACGACAATACAACAAACTACTCCATAAACTATGTTGATGTCGTCCAACCATAATTAGCCGGAGGTAAAGTTGACCAACAACCTTAAAACGCCGACCGAATCAACCTGGATCCTCTACTTTCAAAAAGGTAAGAACTCGAGTAATTTGTGATTATCGTAGTTTTTCAAACATAAAATATCTTCTTAGCCTTATATTTTGAGTCTTCTACATTCTACGCGACAATATTTTGAAGATTCCACTTAGGTCTCCTCAGTTTGGTGATTTCCATATTTTAAATTATAATACTCCTATGATAAAATTTTTATGAAGAATATTATATAATATACATTAGGATGTTATTTACGGTTTTTCCTTATCATTAATTAATGTCTAACCATTATTTCTTATCAATACCATTCGTAGATTTGACTTTTTTTATTTGCAATGTTCACCTTTGTAAAATGCTGAGTAAATTTTAATTAAAGTTTATGTTTTTATTGATACTATCTATTGCTACTACACGCGCAATAATGTTGAGTGGTTTAAACATATGTATTGTTGTTCAGACTTATTGAAACTTGAAAATAGCTGAAATGTAATTTAGGTATTATAACAAAACATAATATTTTGTCAATTTTAATTTAACTAAAAATATTTAAATCCACTGATAAAGAAACTTGTTTACATTTTATCTAGCCCTTACAAATATATTTGAATCTGATAGTGTTTAAACTATTAGGTTTCATATTATTATGTATTTAAAAATTATTATTTTATTGGTTTACCAATATGACAATTCAATCTGTATTTGGGATGTTGTTATGCATGTGCAGTGATGTGCAGATAAGAATATAAACGTATATTTTAAAGTGATAAATATTTGACTAAGTACTTTTAGAAAGTTAGTTCTATCAAGTCGGTATTTAAAAAAAAAAAAGCCAAAATTGGATTTTAGTCGATCGTTTAAAATGTTTGCAATAATCGGACGTTACAATAACAAACACAATAAGTAGCACTAAGTATATTAGTTCTACAATTATTTAAATGATAAACAAAACTATTAAATTAGTATTTTAATGTTACAAAAACAGCAAGTACTACCTATTATATAATACTTAATATTAATTCTTATTAGTTGATCTTATTTTTTTACTAATTCTTAAAGTCTGCACTAATTTTAATTTTAAATTACTTATCGTTAAATAAGTAAACTAATAAACATCAAATCCTCATTAAAATAAAATTAGTTTTTGTCAACATAGTCACAAAGATATGTTTCTATTAATGTAATTTAAATAAAATCAATTAGTTGTCTACTAACTTAATTATACTACCTTGTCATCTAATTTACTTTAACCTGTCACTATATAAGTTTCAGTCAGACTTACGCAGCGTTCTACATGAGCGAACTCAATGCGAACGCGGTGCGGTGCGACACGACGCGAAAATATCAAACAGCTGTCTACCCTGGAAGTGTCCTATGTGACCGAATACACGCTAAGGTTAGCGTGGCGCGAAGCGAACACGATCAAACGGTTTGATATTTTCTTGCGATCTGAACGCGATTTGTGCACAGAATGGACAGAATGGTCACTTTCAATGTAAACAAAAAAGCTGATTATGAACTCTCGGTCGCCGGAAGACCGCCGCGCACGTAGGACAGTGTGCTGCTTTGCATTGCGCCGCGTTGGATCGCACAAATTTTCGCGCCGCACCGCGTTCGCATTGAGTTTGCTCATGTAGGACGCTGCGTAACATAAAGTGTGGTAGACATACATTTTTTACTTGTCACAGTGTGACTAAATGTGATTGGGGTACTTCCTTACCCTGCGTGACCAATAACAGTTTAATAGTTGAAACATATCTTTTGGACTTCAAAATTGTAGGAAGAGCAAACAAATAAGGAAAATATAAATATGTCTATAAAATATAATAATTTACAGATTATAGTTTAAATTGAAAACTTTTAATTATGTGATGTTGCATCATAAATTAACAATTACCCTTAACCTGACACTTGTTTCTTTATTATTTAAAAATTAAAGCAAAACTATTCAGAGTTTTACATTTCAAAATGTTTTATTCATAAGTTTAAGCTGCTCATTTTAAAGCCATCGCTGACCGCTCCAAGAACATAGAGAAAGTTTTTGAGCATAATATATGATATGCCTGAACTGGCAGCTCCTTTTTACTTTCTAGTTTCTCGTAAATACTGCCACTGAGTGTGCAAATGTCAAACTAACGAGAGTAAGTTTTAAGCACTGCTACCCTAACTTTAACTAGTCCACTCTTTCTAATATTAAAAACAAAATATGTCACCAACACTATGCATATGTAATGCTATAAAGTCAATTTTAACTAATATAAATAGTTTCATGCATAACTATGTAGTTTGTAGATGAGTTTCCTAGGCAGTGCAAAAATAAACATTGAAGATACAGCATCTAATAACTTAGTAATAAAGCAACAGGCCAGTAAGTTGTAGACCTAGGTTTGATTAAGGGATACGATAATGTAACTTTACTTCTATAAGCCTTAATTTCACAAGAAGTCATTGTAAAAAAAACATTCGTTACTAAAATACAGTTATAGCTCACGCATATGAGAGTTTTATTTTGTATTTATTGATATTTATCAGTAAATTCAGAGAGTTATTAAATTTACTGAATATCCTTCATTTCCGTTTTGTTTAGTATATAAAATAAATATAATTCAGAAACTGCGCCAGAAAATAGTTTAAAAAAATGAGAGAGAATAGATGATTTAGGAATGTTTAAAAAAAAGAAACAATTAAACTGTAAAAGGGGCAAAAGAGATTAATAAAAAAGGATTTAGATATGTTAGGACATGGGACACAGATAAGAAATGGGTGACATAGAGATAAGTGGAGTGAACAAGCTATAGTGAATGAAAGCAATATGTATGGAAAGAGAATTTGGTTGGCCTGCCCTATTGTATTTTATAAGGGAAAAACAAAATAAAAACTTGGAAAATTAATTACAGTTCTGGGTCCGTTAGAACAAACGCATGTTTTTCAAAATGGTACTACTCCAAAAGTAATTGCAGTAAAAAAAAAATGTATTAATCAAAAAATGCAGATACATATGCAGTTCTTTTATACGTAACAAAATTTAGGTTCTGAAAATAATGTCAGTCATATGGCGGCATAGCGCCTTTGAGCCCCGCAATGCAGGAATCCAGGTGCTCGCGAAACGAGCCCATCGCGTCAGTCAGCATCTGTCCCTGAACTTCTCTCACCACTCGTTTGATCTCGTCCTTTAATTTATCAAGGGTTGGTGGCTTGTGTTGATAAATTTTAAGTGACCCCAAAAGAAAAAATCACATGTTGTTAGGTCAGGGGATCGAGGGGGCCACGGAATGTCCCCAAAGCGCGAAATGAGACAATGAGCGCTCAAGTGCGCCATATGACTGACATTATTTTCACAACCTAAATTTTGTTACGTATAAAAAAACTGCATATGTTTTTGCATTTTTTGATATAATACATTTTATTTTACTGCAATTACTTTTGGCGTAGCATCATTTTAAAAAACATGAGATTGTTCTGACGGACCCTGTATATGCCGTATAACTCGATTTAAATTCCACTGTACAATACGATTTTGAAACAAATGTCAAATTACAGATTTTTTTGTTTTCGACGAATCCTAGTTTTTTAATACACAAAAGAAAATTAAAAAAATGTCTTACAACTTTAGAGATGATTTGAAAAACAAATTTATGTGCTAAAAAAATTCTAAGGCTAGAATTGGATTCAGCGAAAAACTCTAGTTTAAAATAAAACTAGAATTGAATATATGTACTTTTCTTCTTGTTCCGAAATAAAACGTCACATTTTGTTGTATAGTGTCATAACCAAAGTCGTATGATGCTAACTATTTTTTTTGCTAATAATTTTCAAGTACTATTGAAATTAAATTTAAAAAAATTCAATGATTATTCTACTCGTAACATTAATTATTGTGATATTTATCAAATTGAGTATGTGTTGTAGTTTCCTACATTTTCGATTCCTGTGGGTCTATCCTGGGGTTTGCGTTCCTTTTTTTGCAATTTAATATCCAGAAAAATCCGTTCGTTTGCCGAGCAGTATCTTCCTTAAGGTCACGGTAAACTAGTTTTTATCACTGTACCGAGTCCAGTTTGGCTTGTTTGATGATTCAAATGTGAAATAAGACAAAATTAGCTGAAAGATTGTTATGATATTGTCATTTACCACACTTCCTTGTAGAATCACACGAGCTGTCTGTTCCACTTGTCGTGTTCACCTTGAAACTGGTATTATGCTACTTTTATTAACCCCACTATTGCGCCACTATCCACGTGTGCGATCGCGCGCGTGGGTCATCACTCATTGCCGGAGATAGCAAACGTTAAACAATATTTTTCTTTTTTTTTTAATTGGTGCACTGTTAACAAAGAAATGGCTTAAAGTCCATTTATTTTAGGACCCCTTCATTTATCCAAAAGTTAAAACCACCACTATCCGATAGATTTGTTCATAAAGCATCCAAATGTGCCTTTAAAATGATCAACATTTCATATGTTTAGTGTTTTAAAAGTGTTTTATTTAAAATATTTTTATCACGGTTTTTTGATGGATACATTATTTTTTTTAAATTAGGTTTTTAAGACTAACATTTTTTTCTCTCAAGAACTTGACCTGCTGAAGCAATTTCAAAGGCAGATTTGGATTCCTCATGAAAATAATCTAGCGGATAGTGGTGGTTTCATCCTTTTGGGTAAAACTCACCCATATTTTGTAGAACTGACTAATCGTGTAACTTTACCTTTTAGTTTGTCTTTATTGACTTTTGTTTTCATAGTTTCTTTATTATCTAAATCTGATCTCGATTGCTTAATATTTTCCATGATTTAAATTTTCTTTGCACTTATCATTCTGAAACTATCTCAGCCTCGAAAAGCTATTTTATCATTTTTCATTCTATATTAAGAAGACCTAGAATATTACTTGTCTGTTGTGATTGTTTCTTGGCAAATATCTCATGGCGTTTATTACAAAATAGAAGTAGGTAAAGAAATTACTTATTCAATGTAACAGCGTGGAATAATAGCATGGTTATATTCACACATTATTGCGTATTACTAATTAACCGTACATCAACG